ATGCCCCCGCTGCAACAGCATGGACACCAAATTTTGTTATTACAACAATTACAATGTCAATCAACCCCGACACTTTTGCAAGAACTGCCAGAGATACTGGACAGCTGGTGGGACTATGAGAAATGTGCCCGTGGGTGCTGGACGTCGCAAGAACAAGAGTTCAGCTTCTCAGTACCGGCACATAAATGTCTCTGAAGCTCTGCAGAATGCTCGTGCTCAGATTCCTAATGGAGTTCACCATCCGGCACTAGAAGCTAATGGTACAGTTCTGACCTTTGGCTCGGACACACCCCTCTATGAATCAATGGCTTCTGTTTTGAACCTTGCAGATAAAACAATGCATAATACCACTCAGAATGGATTTCATAAGCCTAAGGAGTTAAAAATTCCCGTTTCTTATAGAGGTGGAGAAAACGGGGTTGAGTGTTCAAATGGGTCATCTGTCCTGAGTTCAAAGGATGAGGCAGGTAAAGCTGGGTCGCAAGATCAAATGATGCAGAATTGCAAGGGTTTTCCACCTCAGATGCCCTGCTATCCCGGGGCGATTTGGCCTTACCCATGGAGCGGAGCTCAATGGAGCTCTCCTGTACCTCCACCTGCTTTCTGCCCTCCAGGCTGCTTTCCAATGCCATTCTATCCTGCAGCTGCTTACTGGGGTTGTAACGTACCAGGCACTTGGAACTCCCCTTGGCAGCCTCAGCCTTCTACTCCAAAGCAATCAGTCCCAAGCTCCGGTCCCGATTCCCCTACCTTGGGAAAACATTCACGAGATGAGAACATGAGCAAACCAAGCAACTCTGGAGAAGAGGAGCCAGTAAAGGAAAATAATGCTGAGAGAAGCCTTTGGATTCCAAAAACATTGAGGATCGATGATCCTGGAGAAGCAGCAAAGAGTTCTATATGGGCAACACTTGGCATTAAGAATGACAAATCTGATTCAGTAGGAGGCAGAGGACTCTTCAAAGCATTTCAATCAAAGGGCGATGAAAGGGCTCAGGTTCCTGAAACCTCTCCAGTCTTGCAGGCAAATCCAGCAGCATTGTCGAGGTCAATAAACTTCCACGAGAGCTCATAATCTTGCAAATTATGACTTTTAATTGCTTAATTACTATACGAATCCTGTCCCACTTTGTTAGCCGCTTGGTCATATTTGATTCACCATCCCCCTCTATATAACCAACTCTCAAAGTATGCAAACTGAGAACAAAAGGAAGAGTCAATCATATGGTTTGAAGGCAGAGTTTTTAGCTTAAGTAGAAACTGATTTTTCTTTCCCTTTTCCTTTTTCGATTTAATTTTGTTCTTGGAATTCCTTTTCTTTCCATTGATGGTATGAGCAGGGTTTTTCAGTTAGATGATTTGCAGAGTTCTGTACATAATATATATAAATAAGATGGTGAGAGGTAGGACCAAGTAAGTTTCTGTACCATAAATCCCTCTATTGTATTTAAATAAATTTGGGAACTCAAGTTTCTTTCAAATCTTCCTTAAATCTGTACTTGCTTCTCTGAAGATCTAGAAGCAGATTCTTTGATTCTCATGAACTGATGCAGAATCCATCATCATTGCCATTATCATTTGCTGCTTATATTTCTTGAACTCGAATGTAAATATTCAGTACGTGTACGCGTCTATTCATATGTTTTTCATGTATTTCAAGAATCATATATATATATGTGTGTGTGTGTGCAACTTGGAAGGCACATAAAGGTCCATGTAGGCCCTTTTTGACAGATGATAAATTCTAATCAGAAAAGTCCAAGAATCTTTCCCTTTCCATAACTATAGAATCCAAACAACTAGCACCTAAAAGGTAGAAAGTTCATCATAAAGTTCTGCTTCTTTTCTTATCTGTGGTTGCTTTCTTTTCTTTTTCTTTTCCTCCAATCACTAATAATACCTTTTCAGCAATATGTGTATTTATATCGTGTTTTCTCATATCAATATCATCGTATTTAAACTCGTGTATTTATGTTTTATTCGTGTTTAATATAGCCTTTGAAACGAGTCTTAAAAGCATTGATGTATGTCTACTACAGCAATCTTATCATGTAACATCAAATGTTTTTCTTTACAAAATTACTGAATTTATTTTACTTGGATTGTTGTCTGTCAAAATCAAACTAATAAGTTTAATCATGTTTTAAGAGATTAAAGCCGAGACCAGCAAACACACATGGAGATATTTCGATGTTTATTTTTCTTCAAATTTTGGTTTCCATTTGAGCCATGAACTGGTTATGGGACCCAAACCACGTGATGCTATTTGTACTCTTGGTCTTCTCTGTTTCTGCCTGCCTCTTTGCCTTAATCTTATCAAGTAAATCTTCTACTTCTTTTTCTGCACAGAACATGTTATGGTTCGGGGAAGATTTTTCGTCTTAAAAGATGATTGTATAAACCAACTGAATTAAGTTTGTATTTTTATTCTAATTTATTAAGGTTGACTACATGAACCTTAACATTGGGTTCAGGTAATGTAAATGTTGGATGCCAATAGATATTTTGGATTGTGGTATCTGATATTGCATGATTTACACCTCATGTTGTCCCATCATAATCAAACTAAACCAATTCATGTGGCTCATTTCCCTCGTCAACTATCTGCATAATTCATAGCCACAAGCCTAGTATATGATTTTGACAATAGCTAACCTACATGCATGCAAGGATGGAGCGAAAGATCCGATCGTACCTTTAAAATTTCAATTATTTATAAATGTAGGTTTTTTTTTATATTATTTATTGATGATCTAGTTTTATATTCTTAAAATTCTATAATTTCACACTCCTTAAAATTTTAATTTAATACATAATTTTTTTTATGTATCCCTATGTGCATACATACATATACATATATGCTATCTTTTTAGCATATGTTTTTAAGCATAAGCTTTGAGGGGCATGGATGAGCATCTTCTTAATAAATGACCAATATGAGAGAGATTAATAATGATTCGACCTTATTTGTTCATATAATAATTTTACACAAAGCTCTAAACAATTAACTTTTTGTTTTGTTTAATTCTTTACAAAAGTACTGTTAACTACTCATTGAGATTTGGGATTTAAAGTGAACACTAAGCTTCTAATATTATATTATAAAGAAGAGTTTTATTTTAGGATAAATTACACATTTAGTATCTAAATCATTACTTTTATTTCATTTTAGTATCCAAAGTTTTTTTTTATCGTTAACATTTAGTTTATTTTCATTTTGATATCCGTTGTTAAAACTTAACAAAACTACTGACGTAATATTTTATTTTATTTAATGATGGTAACATTACTTTATGGTTTTATTTTTATTTTTGTATAATACATTTTTAATTTTTAATTTTATCCTCAAATATGTCTCTCATTTTAAATTGACCTCCAAATCTTTTAATATTCTAATTTCATCTCCAAACTATTGATTCTCATTCTAAATTAGTCTGTAAACTTTTAAACTTTTTAATTATATCCCCTACTATCATTATTTACTAATTATATCCATAATGATAAAATTATTTAAAAATTGTTAATTATAGTGACATTGGTGTGTTTTATGTAATAATATAACGTGTCATAAATGATAAATTAATATTATATCACATCTCACAAAATCATTATTTAGAATGAAATTAATTTTTTTTCTTTTTAATTTGTTTATAATTCTTTCTACCTTTTAAAGCTAAATCATTATTTTATTTAAATATAATATTAATATTATTTATTTCACATCATATTATTACATAATTTGTATCGCTATTTGTAATAATTTTATTAACATAAAGCATGATGAGCATATACCAATAATTTGAAGATGTATTCAAATTCAAAATATCTTCCGATTCAATCCAATAGGCATATTCAAGAGTTTAGTCGTTATAATTTTTTTTTATAAATGTTTAAAGTTAGAGGTTTGACTAGAACAAATCTACTTTTTTTAGAAATATATTTTAATGCGTATATATTTTATAATTAAATTCAATTAAATATTTTTTATTATTAAATATGCTGTCCAAAGTCATAAAAGAAAACCAATAATCCCAGAAGTAGTCAATGGGTAGTGGAAAACGCAAATGCAACAACCGCCTATTACACGCATCAGTCTTCGCTTCCAAGAAACTTCGTCGTCCCAAAAAGACAACAAAATGCCCATTGACAAAGACCATTTCCTACACGATGGGATAGCGGTAGGTTCCAAGCAACAACCAGACACATTCCATGCAAATAAGAAGAAGACGGCTTCAAATACTCCAATCCCAATCCTCACCTTTCCATCCAAATTCATTCATTCATTCATTCTTCAACACTTTCTTCTACATATCTCACAATCAAATAGTTCTACTTTTCTTCTTCTTCTTCTTGTTCTTACAAAATGGAGGCGTCATCAGTAAACTCAAACTATAGCCTATTTCCATTCATTGATATCAGTATGATCTTGTTGTTTCTTAGCTTGACATGTTATGACAGCTTTAAAAGTTTCTTCCCAAGTTATTGGTCTTTCCACAATCCAAACATGGCAGCTCAAAGACATCATCAGACTGGCAGAAAACCCAGAATTTTGAGTGTTCAACCGAAGAAGCCTCATTTCATAACAAGGAAGATTGTGTGACAGTTCGCAGAAAAGATGTGGAGAAGTTGATGGGAAATTTGGGGATTTTTTGCAGCCGAGAAAGTGAGGGGCTAAATGAATCATTTGGTTCTGATGAGCTTTCCAGGCTGTTTGACGAAGAGCCAAGCTTTGAAGAGTTGAAGGAAGCTTTTGATGTGTTTGATGTGAACAAAGATGGGTTTATTGATGCACAAGAGTTGCAGAGAGTTCTCTGTATTCTGGGTTTAAAGGAAGGTCTAAAGATTGAGAATTGCAACAAAATGATCAACAACTTTGATGTAAATAGAGATGGCAGAACAGATTTTCAGGAATTTGTAAAATTAATGGAGAACACTTTTTCTGAATCAATCTAATAACATTCATATACACTGTTTTCATTTTTCATTTCTTAGGGTTGGAATTGTAATAAAGGCAGCTCTAAGCTATTTTAAGAACATCCATTGAAATACTTACAGAGATCCAGGTACAAAGAATGAGTATAATTGATCCCCGGCTGTCCTGGAGATAGGAGTTGAATCCATTCCCTTTACGCTCTAGAACATGCAAAGTTTGTTCTCCATTCATCCAAAAGCAAATAGTCAGTGATTCTATCACCAGTAATCTGCACACGAACAGCATCCATTCCGAAAACTGTGGAAGCGATTTGCATCTCTCACGATGATCATCCTGTTTGTGAGCTTAGAAATAAGTTTTGTAGCCGAGTGGCAATCTTCACACATTCTAAGGTTTTTAAACACGCGAATAGGTGCCTTAAAGGGAGAATGCATGAGGCCATATACAATGGCCAATTTCTCGCTGTGATAACTAAGAGAGTCTTCCTTCTGCTCTTCCTCCACATCATGCAACACAGCAGCAACATCTGGTATATATCCCAGTGGCTTGATCCTTGCTAAAACTTCTTTTACTTTCTCATAAATTTGAATTGACTCTGGGTGTTGACAGTCATCCGAAACAAAAACATGGGTAACGTTTCTTATCTCAATCCAGCTCACACCGGGTTCTTTCTTGATATTTCTCTCTCTCATCAATTTTCGGATCTTCACTACTCCATCCCACCTCTTTGCTTTCGCATAAATATTAGATAATAGTGTATATGTTCCCACATCATTAGGGTCCATCTCCAACACAAATTCTGCTATACGCCTCCCAAAACCATAATTCCGATGTACATGACAAGAACTAAGCAATGTACGCCATGCAACAACGTCGCATCTTACTGGCATAGACCTCAAAAATTTCTCAGCCTCGTCAAGAAGTCCAGCCTTGCTCAGGAGTGCAACAACATGTGTAGTGCTCCAACCCAGGTTCAACTCCGACCGTTTTCATGAATTGGTTCAAGTAATATAAACCTTCTTTTACGAGACCAAGGTGACTACAAGCAGAAAGAACCCCCACAAAAGTAACATAGTTTGGACATTCTCCAACAGCCAACATGTCATGAAACGCAGCCATAGCTTCATTTCCTAGCCCATGATGAGAATACCCGCATATCATCACATTCCAAGTAATGCAGTCTCGATAAATCATATCTGAGAAAACTTCACTTGCTGCTTCAATGTTGCCACACTTTGCATACATGTTAATCAAAGCATTTCCAACAATAACATGGTCCATAAAACCTGACTTTACAATTTCCCCATATAGTATGTCTCCATGTCTTAGTACAGACAATCCTGCAGTAGAGTTCAACATAACTGCGAAAGTAAACTCATTGGGTGAAATGTCATCAAGTTTCATCTCAGAAAACAAATTCAGTGCTTCTTCGAAACATCCGTTTTGGAAGTATGCAGCCATGATTCCAGTCCATACAACCACATTCCTAACTTTCAACCCATCAAAAGCTTTCCTAGAATTAAAAAACTCTCCGCATTTCCCATACATATTAATGATTGCGCTATTAACAAAACATCAAACTCAAGATTGCTTTTCACAATCCTACAATACACTTGTAAACCCAAGTTCAAATCCTTAAGACAAGCACACAGTCCAAAGACAGTCACATAAGTTACACTATCCCACTTCACAACATCTCCCATCATCCTATCCAAACTTTAACCGCTTCATTCAAGAACCCTTGTTGCAAGAGTCCACTTAGAACTGAATTATACGAATAAACATCATAACCAGGAACTAGACTAAAAACCCGCATAGCTCCTTCAACATCAAAAACTTTGAATACATATTTATCAGTGCATTCTTAACATATTGATTAAAAACTAACCCCGACTTGACCACATAACCATGACACTGTCTACCCTCTAATGTCTTCCCACTGTCGGAACAAGCCGAAAAACAACCGCGAAAACATACTCATTAGGCTTCAAACGATCCACCAAAATCATATTTTCGAACAACTTTAACACTTCCAATGAAAACCCAGTTTGCAAATACCCTGCCATAAGGGAACACCATGAAACCAAATTTCTCTCGGGCATTCTCTCAAACACTTTCCGGGCACTTGAAATTTGGTTACATTTTACATAGAGATTGATCAAGGAGTTTAAAGGCTGTATGCTAGATCCTAAGGAGGTTTGGTTGACTACGAGCAAATGGGAATGGATTAATTTGCCTAATATTAAGTTTTTCGTATCAGCTGAAACTTTTAGGAGCTTAGTTACGTGGTTAAGGCGGATAAACCTCGTTGGTTTGAATAAAGCTAGCACCACTTGGTTCCTTGCTGATTTTAGACCGCGCATTTTCTTTTCCGTTTGTTTCTGCTATAGCACCGGTCTTCTTCCTTTCAGGTTTTCCATGAGATCCATGGGGCAGGAGTCAGGAGATGAGTTTTCCGTTTCCACCCAACACCTAAGCCCAGATTCCCAAACCAGGATAAGTGCAAATTTCCTTCAGTTGGGCCAGCAAAAGAGCCTATGTATTTTAATTCTTTTCATCATATCTATAATTTATTAAAGATTTTTTATCTATATATTTCTTTACCTATCCAAAGACAATCTTCTAAAATATGCCTTTTGGAAGTTAATTTTCATGACGAACTTTTATGAGAAGAGTGTTATTTTAATTAATAATTCTATTTAGATACTATTTTAATAGAAAAAAGTATTAGTCCGATAATATTGCCATCAATTTCTCTAGTAATTTATTCACTGTGTAAAATTAGTACACTGCAAAATCTGAACTATATTAAACGACAGTAGATAACAAGAACTCAGAAGAAGAAAAAACGAGTCAGACTAGTAATGAAAAAGACAGATGTTTAAGGCTTAGAACTCTTGGTTGAATCACCCTCCATGCAAAGTCCCATCCATTGCTGTCAGTTACTCACTTTCCCTCTTATACCCTAATGGACAACCACAACCCCTGTCACTCACTTTCAAAGCTTCATTGTGTAAAAGCATGCCCCATTATTGCTCTCACAACCCCCATTTGTGAAACCCTTTTTTCTCTTATAATAATAACCAAAACCCTACCCTTTCTTCTGCCATCAACACCTTCCTCCTCCAATCCCCACTTCTTCTTCTCTGCCTTTTTCTTTCTTTGAACGATGATGGTTGATTTCCTTTTTCTTTTGTTTTATGCCTTGTCTCCTTCGGGAAAGTTCCTAGATCTCTTCATCTGGGACTTTTATGGGATTCTGGCTTTCATTTCATTGGTTGAAATGATGCTTTGTTTTGCTTGGGGAGAGAGAATTTTTTCCATGCATAGCAATGTTTTTTCATCTCAACTCTTGCATGGGGAAATGAGGTTATATATATATATATATATATGATGCAGCCAAGGATGACTTGCCGGCCAACATATTTAATTTACAATATGAATCATGCTGTATGTTTATATTAAAAATTGTATCAGTAACCAAAAATGTATGTTGCTATCATTATTTGACCAATGGACCGGCAAGACATCTCTGGCTATATCATTGTCTCATTTTCTCATGCTAGATTTATGATGAAGATAGCTAAAGGATATGTAGTTTCTCAATTCTTTGGTGCTGAACAAAACTCTTGGCTTAAAGGTAAACCCCCTTTGCTTTCACTTGTCTCTTAACCACTAACTCTTGCAGGTTTCTATTTGATGAAGTACCTTTTTGCTTGGTGAAAATAGAATCACTGTTAAAAAAGGGATTCTTTCTTCTACATGAAACTTGCATTACGCCTTGTAGTATTCTTAACAATGATAAAACTAGGATTAAATCGTCTCATACCCCAATATTTGACACTTTCTTTTGTTAATTTTCATATGATTTCAGGGTGTACACTTGCCCATCTAGACGGTGGATGTGCCACTGAATTGTTGTGTATGGGAAACTAGATAAAATTAAAACTCTTGAGGGCCAAAATTATAAAAAGTTCGAGTGAAAATGGCTTATTAAAACCTAAAAAGAAACTGTTACAGCTATAGTTTGGCATAGGCGAAGGACAGAAAGCCTTGTCATCGTCTTCTTCGTCTTAGAACATAGTTATGTCAGTGTAAAACTAATTTCAATGTTAGGGAAATTCTAACTTCATATCATAAGGGGAAACAATAAAATAAGGCAATTACATTGATTATTTCAACACATTTTCACGTCATTGAATAATACTTTCTACCGCGTTTGTTTCACGAAATGTAAGATTACCAACGAGAATGTAAGATTACCAACGGGAATATAAGATTACCAGCGGGAATGTAAGATTATCAGAGAATAAAATTACTGAAAATGTTATATTTTGTGTTTGATTAGCTTAGTAGAAATGTAAGATTATTATGTTTGGTTAAAGAAATAAAAGATTATTAGAATATATATCTGACCAAATTATTCTTATTATATATTTGTTTTTTAACAAGTTAAAAAATATTTATATATTTTCTTTAAAAAATTTAAATTCAAAAAATTTATATAATTTTTTTACAAAATTAAAAATATAAAAAGGTTTAATGAAAGGGTAAAATTTTATTTTTAACCCATGAACTTCATATAAATTTTTAATTATAGATTTTTTTTATAAATCTAAAATAGTTTAAGAATAAATTTGTAATTTAACCTTCGTAAAATTTTTATTATTTAATTTTTATTATTTAATGATAGAATAAGAATATTTTTGAAGAAAAAAATTAAAGGTATTTTAGTCCAAAACGCTGATAATCCAACAATACCTAAAGAAAGGGAGGTAATGACATTCCCGATAATATACCCTAAAAATTTTACTATTAGTATTCTTACATTACCAAAAATGAGATTATCAAACTAACCAAACGGAGAAATATAAATTACATTCCCATGAAAAATTCCACGTTCCTCCATCTATCCCTAAAGGGCTGAAACATTGTCCTTGGCTTTCCAATTTAGATCATGGATGTGTCAATGTCATATCTATTTACTTGTACCAACCAAATCAACCCACAGGGGAACAATCACTCGGTTAAGCCACTTGACAAGCCTAACCAAGCACTGCTATTACAAATTTGCTTATTAGCGACAATTTGATAAAAAAAAATTGCTTAATGTAGTTTTTGAAATCATATTTTAGCATCTTATATTAAAATATAATTCTCAAATGTAAGAGGGTGTAGAAATATTTATAATTTTTTAAAAGAAAAAATTCTCAAGCTGATTGGCAAATGAGATGTAATGGGCTAGGTATTAGGAACCCATGAAAGTCTAACTTAGAGGTCTATATACTAGACCCTTATAAAATTAACTCTACATTACCACAGCCTCAATCTAGGCCCAATCAAGGAATAAAGATGGAACCCATATTGGAATTGGTTGGATTTTCAAATCTCAATTTAAAATTATTAAGAAGAGTAATATGCTAAAATATTAAAAAAACGAAAATTTGAAGAAATATATGTATATCTATAATAAATTTAAAAATGTTTTTAAATTTTAACTAGAAAGGTAAATATAATTTTAAATATTTTAAAACTTTTAATATTAAATTAATAATAATGTTAAATTGAGTCAGAAACCAAGGTAAACAGCAAAATTTTGCAACTCAACCCATAAATAAATCTAACAGTTTATGTTATAACTGGAGTTAAACCTATTCTACCTACCGAAAAAATTTAATAAAGAAAATATATACATACCATTCACGTCACATTATAATGTAAAAAAAAATCACCAAATCTTTAATATAAGGGTGGGAAAATGTTGTTATTGCCTGATCTACCATGCTTCTTTAGTTGGTTGCAAGTTGCAACACCCACCTTATGGTTTTCTTTCTTAAAATAAATTATATCTAGAAGGATTCATGAATTCGATACGGTTATAAATCCAATAAATAAATATAACACTTATAAATCCAACAACAGGGGTTGATCCAAGTGGTAAGCAGCTTGATGTCGCTTAAGCAATGTCTCAAGTTCAATTCCTTTTGTATGTAAAAAATCTTTGTTGAGAGACTCACCCATCAAAACCAGGTGTGCGACGCGGGTTGATCCGGATTAATCATAGAACCGGAAAGGTAACAAAAAATCACTTGTAATTTTTTCATTTATGGTGTACTGAATAATAATATGTAGTTATATATATTTAAATTTATTTTTTGATATTATGGAGTGATTACATAATAGTATCAATTGAGAATTTTCTTAATCAATTGACAATACAATGGACTCTGCATACACAACTGCTCGAACCTAAGATTTTAAAGAAAATAAGATTCTATTTTACCATTGGTGTTACTTGATTGGTTCTAAAATTTAATTATTTATATTATCAACATATTCTTTCTCCATATAAAAGTAAGTTCCTTACTTTGTCTAGTTTTAATTAGTAGTGTTTGATGTTGCCATTTTCCTAATCATATAATTATTGAGACTAACATTCTTATTATTAGGCTGTGATCACTACAATAATTTGCTTCATATCTTCAAACAATATAATAAAATTAGAATCTCAAAGTATGTCCATCATTATAACGCAACTAAATAAAGGACTCCCTACTCCCTACAAAAGCATGCCTAATAGTAATATTCTCACTAATAACTAAATAAAGTATGTCCATCATTATAACGCAACTAAATAATTTAAGATGATTATAAGGTAGTATTTATTTATAATATTTCTTACTCAATGACAATGTACATACACTCAACAAATACAACTGCTTAAATTTGAGACTTTTATAAAGAATAACGTTTATTTTTATCACTAAAATCACACAATAAATTTAAGATTTATAGTTATTTCTTTTTATAACATCATATATAAAAAATATATTATTTCAATCAATAATCTTTAAAATAGATGATTAACAACTCTTAGTCGACATCTCTCTTATCCATTAAGTTATTTATTCGATATTCATTAAGATTAAAATTCATTTCCCCTCCCCAGATTTGTTATAAAAACTGTTTCATTACATATATCACGTGCGTTACACTGCATTTGACGCTTATGATTGAGTGAAAAGCTTGTTAGTTCCATAATTGAACGCTTAAGCAATATAGGGGTAGCCTAACCCCTAATAATTAAGTCCTCAAATTTATTTATAATCTTAAAATTAAAAATAAACACTTCTAATAACAATGTGTTTCTGCCACCGTTTCTTCTCATGTCGGAATAGGGGTAGCAGGGGCCCATGAAGACCAGCTCAGCAGTTGCCACTCTGGTTAAATTAACAATTTGCTTTCCCATTGTCCAATTGGTACTTACCACGTGTATTGTTTGGTTAATATTCAATCCGCCGTGGCAGCCTATTTTTTTCAATATACGAAACCGTATTTAAAAAAATACAAAAGGGTAGATTCAGTATGCTCATTAAAATACGGCTTGGTATAATAATATATAAGAAATTTATTAAATAAAGCGAGATATCATATTTTTATAATTTTGTATAGAA